GTCTCATCCCAAGACAGGAAGAGGAACAGGTTTTTCATTTTTCATTGGCTTATCGTCCCACCTTAACTTCAAGCTCGTCGATTCTCCGGATGTCAGAAGTCGGATCAAAAAAGAAAAGGAAAAAAAGGAAAAATAGAGGGAAGGAGGAGGAAGCGGACAGAATACAATTGGAAGGATAACTGAAAAGTTACGGAAAGGAAAAACCAAAGGAATGTTTGCTTTCTTTTTATCAAATCTATTAGATAATAAAGAAAGTTTTTTTTTTTTTAATTATTCTTAAGGAAAATGAATTATTAATACCAATTTTATAAAAGTCGTAATTCAATAAAGTAAAAATTTTTATTTTTGATTTACGAGATAATTATTGAGATTTGGCAAGATGTATTAATAAATTGAAATGAAAGCGCCTCGATGAAATGAGAATTGAACACGAAGAAATTTTCATTTATGTGTCTTGTTATAACTTTTTCAGAGATATTTTTTAAATATATTGTAAACGAATATAATAGATATATAATATATATATAATAGATAATAGAATAATAGATATACGCAGAAATGCATAATTGTAAATTTACTTCATCATATACTCGATTTTAATTTTCAACAATTATTTGCAATTGTTTTCTCGAATATATATTTGTAAAATTTTCTTGATTGTAGAAAACATAATAGTCAATAACAAAAACAACATTATTTTAAACAAAGATAGATAATGAGCGTCAAGTCGTAGCTCTCTCTTACAAGAAGGACAATCAAAGGAAAATACAAATATCAGGAATAAAAAGAGAAAACGAAACAAATTCGAGGAAGGGAGCACGGTTAAATATAAAGAAGATACGGTTATGGATCAGGTCTAAGATGTCCTGACACGCCTATAGAATCTCACGGTCGATCCTGTTTTAGGATAAGGCGGATTATCAACACCGCTTCGTCTCCGATGCAGGTGTTTCTACTGAACTCACTGCAGCACCCTTACTTTAAATCTTATACTCAGAAGTTCCTCGTTTCTTTTGCGTTGCTTTTTATATTCTTTTCTTTTTTTTTTTTTCAAATATATACAACAAAATTTCTCGTGATGTTACAATATTTTAATCACATTTTATTAAATACTTTTGTTGTATGAATGAAAGTGCAATCGCAAAATAGATAAGTATAAAGCAATTGAAGAAAATATTTAAGATAAAATCCTTCTTATTAAATTTATAAGAAATTTGATATTTATTTCTATCAAATCAATAAATTTTATTTGTTATCTGAATCATACAATATAAAATGAACATTATATTAATAAAAATTAAATATTAACTTGTAAAGACAACAGTTATTTTCATGAACAATCTAACATTTTATCCCAATGTATTTTCAATATAAAAAAAATTATTCATTAGACATCTTAATCTTATTATTATTATGATGCTATTTTAATCAAACGTTGAAAATGACACGAACGAAACAAAACATGTTGTGCTTTTTACTCGTCATAATATTTATAAATATCAACGAAAAATATGCAAGTCTCATGCAATTATTTTCTGCAAAATAGTAATAAATCTAATCCATTTTAGATTATCTCCTTTATCAATTGTTATAACAAAATAAATATATAATACCTTATAAAGTACTTTATAAAATATAAAAAATATGATTAAGAAAAGGGTAAAAAGTAAGAAGGAACGGAATTGTAAAAAATTCGTGAAAAAATATAAAATTTTGACAGGCAGAGTCTGTAATAACAATGTCATTTGTTTCTCCTTCACTGTGTGTTCCTCTTACTTTTTTTTCTGTTAAACCTTCAGTTGTCTCCTCTTTCCGTTAAATTACAGCCGGTTTTCTCGTTATGATCATCAGGTTTTATCGTAATCATAACTGCGAAAAAAGACAGTAAATTATACAAATTCGCGTACGTGAAACGGAAAAATCAGTATAAATAAATATCAAAGATCAACAACAAAGAAAAAAATTGCGAATGCATGTCGTGTTTTTATGTGTTGTAATACATATGTGTGTATGTAGGAATGCTTATGCAGACGCAGCCTTTCTTCGCGGTCGTCGTTCATCGTCATCGGTCATCGAACTCGCGACAAATTCAAAATAAACGGTCAAGACACACCAAGTACACGGTTGCCATCGATAATTTTCCTCTTCGCAAAATTTAATAAATCTATGTCTTCTTGCTACCCATCGCAGCCACTTGATGAGGATATATCGAACGAATTGATATACAGTCAGCCATAAAAGTCTTTGTATATCATCTTAGAAGGAAATTCATCTAATCCAAAGATCCTGATTTTAATGAATGTTTGTGTATATAAAGTGTAATGGGCTCAGTAAGGAAATGAAATCAATCTCCAACCAATATCTTTTCAGATTTTGAATGTAATTTCACCTGAAAATATTTTTCACAATACAATAAAAATTTTATTCTATGTCGTATCGTTATAAAATTATGTATGTAAAAAACAAAAAAAAGCACTGAAACTTCGAATGTTGATTTCTCATGTTCTTAAAGTAATATTTCTCTAAAATTTTTTTTTTTATTTAATGCTTTTTTAAACATAATTCTGTAATAGCATAGAGATAATGCAAATTTTTATTCTCATGTAAAAATTGTAATTCTTATCAAAGTCCTCTTCCTACACAATAATTCATTACTTATAAAAGTTCATTTTATTTGTTTTATTAAAATTATTACATATAATAGAATATTGATTCTAAACTGATCTAAAAATAGAAATATTAATTAATAGAAAAATTACTTATAAAAATATTATAAGAAATAATTTTATTTCATAGATACAATAAGATACAATAATATCAATTAAATTACTATAACAAAAGAATATACACTATATCTACTACGCAATTAAAACAGATAATTTAGAAAATATAAATACTTACTTGATCAATTTCTTCTAAAATTTATCTTCATAAAAATTTCTACTTATGTAAATGAGAAAATATTATAAATGATGATATATGATAATCGGTAAATATAAAACTTTTTACGAAATGAATAAACAGTAAGTAATACTTCCACTTTAAATTACTTACCTATTGTCAAAAAAGTTATTTATCTTAAGATATAAATCTGTTAATTAATGACAATTATTTGAACCTTAAAACTTTCATAAATTTTATCCAATAACGTTCTTACTATGTGAGAATATAATCGACATAATTTTGAAAATCACATTACAGTTAATACTAATTCTTTTATGATTGTTAGATAGTAAAACTGTTCCGAAACGATCCCAATAGAGTTGCTGGAAGAAAAGAATCGCGAAATCCGAGTATCCTTTCATTCGTGATTGCAGCATAGAGATATGATTTACCAAGTTCTTTCAATCAAGGGGTGAGAGTTTTATCTCTAACGCTTTTGCTCTTTACAAAATCAGGAAATCCGTCTTTTTGCAAAGGGATCGAGGTATGTTTCACGTTTCTGTGAATGAAGATTCATTTACATATGGTTTCGTATGGAAATTAGGTTGTAGGGTATGCAAAACCTGTTCCAAACATGTTCCAAATACTCTGCTAAAATCTATTTTTAACTTAAAAAAACAATTTTTGCTACTAATAATTTTACTCCTATGAATTTTTTATTTATTTTCAAAAATTTTCTTTTATCATTTTAAATTAAAAATAATTAACAAATCTAATAAAAAGATTTAGTAGAATTTTTCTAATTCTATCCAAAAGATTTTTTAAATAAGCCTATTGTAGCTTCTGAATAACAAAAAATTAAAATCATTTATTATTTTCATATTTTCAATATTTTTTTTATATTTTTGACAAAATTTAATAGCCTGACAGTATTTAATAATAATTTTTCATTAAATATTTTGCTACACACACACACACATATATATATATATATATTAATAATTTCTATTTGCTTAGATTATAGCGTGTTTTTTTTCGGCATGTTTTATATGCACTATTTTGTCATTATATATATTCTTTATTTTTAAATGATTTTACCAAATATCAAAAATTTTCTTTTTTTTTAATGTGACAACTGATGAGGTATATATCATTTTAAGTAAAGATATTTTTAATTGAATTTATATCGAAAGAATTGTTTGGCTAGTAAATATATTATGTATCATAATTTATGAATTATAAATTAACAATTAATAAAATTTGCAATTAAATTTCGTTCGGCTATTAAATTTTATTAAAAACATAAAACATTAAAAATTGTAATTGCTTCCAATTTTTTGACTAGTGATGTAATACGTCTTCTGCTTTTTTCTAATAGTTGTTAAGCAATGACTTTAATGACGTTAATATAAAAAAAAGACACATTAAAGAGAAAAAAACGTTTTTACGTGTCAAACGGTACACGAGCATAAGCAGTTTCGAAAGCTGCCAACAATTTTCCCACGATTCCTCCCACGACCTGCACAGATTCTTTTCGAGGTCCTTCTTTGCCTTTTCGCCCCTCACCTTGTTCTCATCGAGCTGTCTTTCTTGCGCATACGAATCGTATTGACCGAGTCTTCTTCTCGAAGAGCTCACTCGGTCATGTAACGGGATGCAAGGAAAACGCACTCGAATTCCCTTTGATTTGATCGCACAATGACGGTTTTCGTCCAACAATAAACCATACGAGGGTAAGATACGTGCTTTTCGAAGGTATTCGCCCAGTCGAGGAGAAATTCAGGAAATCAGGACCGCAAAAGAGACAAGCTACCTGCTTCTCCTGCAACCTCCTGCTCCTATGATAGACGATGAAGGGAAGGAAAAGAGAGAGAGAAAAAAAATCCAGGACCAGGAAGAAAAGTCGTGAACGCGAAATACAAAAGGAGGCACGAGAACGAAACGTGCCAAGATTGAGCACCTACGTCAATATACCGGTTACGCGCGCGCGACCATCATCCCCCTGCTTGCTCGTGGACGAAAAGTTTCTCACGAAAAGGAAGAACCATGAGGCGGTCAACTTTGTCGACGAGAAACGAAAAACGATCCTTCCACTCTCGAGCCAGAGTTCTTTTTTCCCCTCTTCTCCTATTTCTTGATCGAGTCAGAAAAGAAGATGCACTCTGTTACCGGGAAACAGAACACGGATGCAGACCGCAGGTCTGAAAAAGAAGTGTGTGTGTGTGTGTGTATGTATGTAAGATTAAAATAGTAGGTAAAAAGATGAGATTACTGAAGACTGCAAAACCGGTGTCGTCCTATTAGTATTTACGAAGAAAATGTCAGACCGATAAGCAATTCGCAGGGTTCGCGCTTCTACCGCACCTTCGACTCCAGCTTGGGTCGCTTACGTTACTTACGTTGCTTACATAATAAGCGATGAACTCTCGAAGAACACTTCTCTTCACCCTTCTCATCCTGTCCTGGTCCATCCCTTCTTCTCTTGGTACTCGTCTTGTTTCCTCGCAACGGCAGCGACGGCAACAGGCGACAGAGGTGGCACATGAGCACATCGCGATGGAAGCGCGATTGGAACTTTACCATCGAGAGTATAAAGGGAAAACGGTCTCGAACGGGAGGGAGTAGAGAACGGAGGTCGACGTTACGCCAGAGAATTTCTTCTGGCGATCCTCTTCTCGATGGTTGTCGGTTGCCGTCTTCCTCTCATCCACTTGTACGATATCTTTTGCGCAACTTGATTGGCTTAGCTTACGCGACGCATCTATTCCGCAATCATCCCGATCCTACTGAATTGTTTGTCTATGAATAAATAGTAAAATCTCAAGATCGATGTGATCTCGAAAGATTCGCGCGCATATTCTCTAATTTAAAACGAATTATATTCTCTTTGATAACAAGAAAAAAAAAAGCATATATATATACCTTTAAATAAAAAAAAAAATGTATAATTTAACGTTTTATCCTTTCTCTTTTTCCTTCGAGTCCTAGAAGTTGGTGAAAGACACGAGTGAACCTTTAAGCGGCCGATCCTCCTCGTAGATTATTTCATAAGCATTCCCAATACGGAAAAGTTCATCCGCTGTAACTGAGTATGAGTTCGAGCTGTTGCGCAAGCTATTCGAAGCCGGGGATTGCTCATTCGTACGCTCTCTTGCTTTTTTATTTACTCACATGCATCCGTGTTCAGATTTTTTAATACAAATGCATATGGATTCAATATACATGTAGAAATATTTTTGAAGAATTATTAAAATATATTCTTTAAAGAGATTCCAAAGTAAAATTGACGAAAAGCATTGTAAGCATTAGATCCGTGCTGCCCTCTCTCGTGATTTTACTTATTTAACAGTAACATGAGAAATGAGAAAAATTGTACCTACGTATTTCTACCATTACATTACATTAATTGGTAAATTTTTTAACGTAATGAATAATTTTATAAATTATTTTATAAACTATATGATAATACATTATTAAATTAATACATTAAATAATATAATATTTAAATTAATGTTTTTTATTTTTTTATTTTTATTTTAAATGTACTTTAAAAAATCGCATATTGAATTATATATCATATATTTGTTTATTATTTATTTATTAAATTTTACAAATGAATAAAAATAAATTAAGAAACAAAATCTGTTTTATTTTTTATCTAATAAAATTTCTTTAATTTAAAATT